TTCTAAACCAGCAACCCTACCTGCTTTCTTTTGTGAACCTATTCTTTTAATTCCAGGAGCCAGTTTGCATCTAATTCACTCCTTCCAAATTCATGGGCCTCCTCATGGGTCCCCAGTGGAAAGCCATGCTCTGTGAAAATTATAAAACTCTTGAAATTTTTTGCGACCTTTAATTACATAACTGTCTCCTAGATATGACACCTAAAACACAAACCAAAGGAAAAAGACAAATTGGACTCCCATCAAAACTAAAAACTTGGGAGGTGGGTCTAAGATGACAGTGTAAGAGGATGCTGAGCTCACCTCGCCCCCTCCCCAGGACACACAGAATGTACATCTATATTTAGAGCAATTCCTCCTGAGAGACAACTGAGGGCCAATGAACAGCTGCACAACAAATGAGACAGAACACATAAGGAAGGCTGGGAACCTCATGAGCTCTCCAGGAGCTGAGTACTCTCCAGCACTGGAGGAACCAGTGAGCCACCGTTCACATTTCCAGCTGACAGAAACTCTATCCAGGTCTCTGGCGGACCTGCAGGGCCACCAGAAGGAGTCTCCAGCCAACCTCCCAGAGCTGGGTCCCACAGGAGGAGGGCACCACAGTGTGCATGCACTGGGCCCCTCAACTGGAGATTGGTCCAGTGGGCATGGCAGGATGCAGCTGCAGCCACCCACCGGGTTGCACACACACGTGGGGCTCCCCTGCCCAGAGGGAGTGAGAGCTAGCACAACGCTGTGGTACCTGCACACAGGGCTGTCTCGCTGCAGCAACTGCAAACAAGCAGGGTGCTGCAATGTGCACACTCAGCAGCCCTACCCAGACCCAGCTGGGGCAACAGACAATTAAAGCAATGGGGCACACCACATGCACACTGGGCAGCCCCGCCGAGATCAGAAGAGCAAGGAAGCGTGCACACACCAGGCTGCCCAACCCGACACCCACTCGTTCCGGCCAGGCGGCATACCAGCTACCCACATGCACCCACCCTGACTAGAAACAGCCTACCAAAACCATCTGGCACAGTCTACACAGAGACCATTTTTGCAAGATTGGGAGAGAGCTAGTTCATCTAACTCATAGGAACAAACACAGAAAGTTAACTGAAAAATGGGGAGACAGAAGAATATTCCCCAAATGGAGAAACAAAAAGTACCTGGAGAAAAACACTAATGAAACAGAGATAAGTAACCTGCCTGATAAAGAATTCAAAGTTAACAGTCATAAGGATGCTCGATAAACTTGAGAGTGGAATACAGGAACTCAGAGAGCATATCAACAGTTAGAAATGTAATAAAGAGCCAATTAGAGATGAAAAAGACAATAACTGAAATGAAGAACACATTAGAAGGAATAAGAAAAAAGGGGCAGAAAGTATATTTGAACAAATAATGGATGAAAACTTCCCTAACTTGGGGCAGGAAACAGACATCCAGGTTCAGGAAGCAGAGAGTTCCAAACAAATGAACCCAAAGAGGCTCACACCAAGACATACTGTAATTAAAATGGCAAAATTTAAGGATAAAAAAACAATTCTGAAGGCAGCAAGAAGGCAGCAAGTCACATACAAGGGAAACCCTATAAGGCTGTCAGCTGATTTCTGAGCAACTTTATAGACCACAAGGGAGTGACAGGAAATGTTTAAAGTGCTGAAAGGGAACCTACAACCTAGAATACTCTACCCGGCAAGGTCATCACTCAGAACTGAAGGAGAGATAAAGAGTTTCCCAGACAAGCAAAAGCGAAGGACTTCATCACAATTAAACTGGCTTTCCAAGAAATGGTAAAGGGTCTTCTTTATGCAGAAAGGAAAAGGGCCAAAACCCGAAATAAAGGAGATACAAGAAAGAAAAAAACCACGCAATGGTAAAGGCAAATATATGACAAACATAGTAAATCAACCACTTAAAAAGTTAATATAAAGGTTAAAGATAAAAGTAGCAAAATTAACTATAACTACAATAGGAGATACACAAAACAAAAAGATATAGAACATGTATCAGCTTAAAATAGATTGCTATATGTATCTATATATACCTATAACTATATAGATAGATAGATAGATAGATAGATAGATAGATGAATATATATGAACCTCATGGTAACCACAAACCAAAAACCTACAAAAAATACACAAAAAATAGAGAGGAACCCAAACAAAACACTGAAGAAAATATGCAAATCAAAAGGAAAGGAATCAAGAAAGGAACAGAGAACAGCAGCAGCCAAAAAACAATGAACAAAATAGCAATAAGCACATACCTATCAATTATTACTTTAAATGTAAATAGACTAAATGCTTCAATCAAAAGATATAGGGTGGCTGAATGGACTAAAAAACAAGACCCCTCTATGTGCTGCTACTAAGAGACTCACTTTAGGTCAAAAGATATGCACAGACTGAAAGTGAAGGGATGGAAAAAGATATACCATGCAAATAGAAGAAAGCTGGGGTAGCAATATGCATATCAGGCAAAACAGACTTCAAATACATATATATATAGATGTAAGTATGTATTTTTTTGTTGTTAATTCTCACCCAAGGACATTTTTCCCATAGATTTTTTTAGAGAGAGTGGAAGGGAGGGAGGAGCAGAGAGAGAAACATAGATGTGAGAGAGACACATCAACTGGTTGCCTCCTGCATGCACCCTGACCAGGGCGGGGTGCAAACCCACAACCCAGGTACATGCCCTTGACCGGAAATTGAACCCCCGACACTCTGGTGCACAGGCCAACGCTCTAACCGCTGAGCCATGCCAGTCAGTGTGTGGCAACTACATTTTAATTAAAAAACAAACAAACAGGCATAATTGCAGAGGAAGGGAATGCAGTTTTAAAAAGGGCAATTATAAAGACTAATCCAGCAGTGTCCAAAAGAATTAGAATGTGAGCCACATATGTAATTTTAGATTTTCTAGTAGCCACCTTTAAAGACTTAAAAAGGAGACAGGTAAGATTAATTTTAATACTATATGTTACATAACTCAATATATTCAAAATGTTATTTCCACATGTACTCAATATAATAATTGAGATAAAAAAATAAAAACTTGTACTTCGAAAGACACTATCAAGAAAATAAAGAATTTAAAAGAAAGAATGCTTGCAAATCACATATCTGATAAGGGTCTAATAAATGGAATATGTAAAGAACTCTTAGAATTCAACAACAAAAAGACAAATAATATAATTAAAAATGTGCAAAGGGCTTGAATAGACATTTTTCTACAGAAGATATTCAACTGGCCAACAAGCAAATGGAAAGATGCTCAATATCATTAGTCATTAGGAAAATGCAGGTCAAAATCAAAATGAGGTGCTACTTCACACTCACTAAAAATACGGCTGTAATTTTTTCAAAAAGAAAGCGCTAGTGAGAATGTGAAGAAACTGGAACCCTTGTACCTTGCTGGTGGGAAAGTGAAATTGTACAGTTGCTTTGGAGAACAGTTTGGCAGTTTTCAACAATTTAAACTTAGTCACCCTATGACCCAGAAATTCCACTCCTAGAAATGTACCAAGAGAACTGAAAAGATATGTTTACATGGAAATTCGTACACTAATGTTTATGCTAGCATTATTTACAACAGCCAAAAGGTGGAAACAACCCAACATCCATCACTAGCTAACCAGATGGACAAAACATGGTATATCTATACACTGCAATATTTTTCAGCCACAAAAAATGAAGTGTTAATACATGCTACAACATGGATGAACCTTGAACACATTAGCCAGACACAAAAGGCCACATATTGTATAATTCTATTTATAGAAAATGTCCGGGGTAGACCAATCTATAGAGACAGAGAGTAGATGAGTGGCTTCCAGGATGGCAGGGGGTAGGAGGAGTGAGAGGTTACTGGTAATGGCACCAGGACTTCATTTTTGGGTGATGAGAATGTTCTGGAGTTAGATAGTTGTGATGGTTACACAACCTTGTGAATATACTAAAACTCTCAGAAATGGCTTACCCTTTAAAAGGGTAAATTTTATGGTATGTGAATTATAGCTCAAAAAAAACAAAAGAAAAAAAAATCTTCAATCGCCCTACCAATCTGAGTATGACTGCTGAAGGAACCTGCCATCAATGGGAATATGTTCTCATTCTCAGGCTGCAGAGGTGGAAGCTGGGAGCCCACTGCTCGGAATGCTATGTGTACTGTCCCAGCCAATGTCCCGGCCAATGTCCCAGCCAACGGGCCTCAGGGGGAGGGGGTTGGCCTTGGGGCGCGTGCAGGAGGCAGATGTTCACTGTCACATCGATGTCTCTCCCCCCACTGCCTTGCCTTCCATTCTCTCTAAAAAAATCAATGGAAAAAATATCCTTGGGTGAGGATTAAAAAAATATATATATATGTTATGCACAATGAATCCTTCAAGTATATGATTCAATAAAACAAAATATTTCAACATTTTCCTCATCAATAAAGCAAAAATATTTCACTTATATATGTAAAATTGCTTTCATCCAACTTTTTAGAATTTGCCATTTTTGAAAGAATGCTGTACAAACTAAGTTTAAGAGAGAGAGATATAGTTTATTACTTACTAATTATTATGTATCTTGGAAATTTTTTCTTACACTCAACCCTTCATCCCACAAATATTTATTGAGCACTTACTATGTGCAAAGCACTCTACTAGGTAGGGGGATACGGCGGCAAGCGACACAATGTAATGTCCTTGCTGCTGCTGTGGAGTTGCTGTTCAGGCTGGAGGGTTATCAACCACAAACAAAGAAACAAGATATTATCAGAGTGAATGGTGACCTTGAGGAGAATAAAATGGGACTAACCAAGCAGAGCCAAGCCGAAGGGGCATTACCATACAGGATGTCCCCAGGCTTGGGTACCCTTTGGGCACAGTAGGAGCCAACATGGCAATACCAACAGAAAGAGCGGCACTGTTCCTCCCATGGGGAGTCAGGAGCACGTTCTGTCTCTGAAAGAGAAATCTGGGCATGTCATCTCCAAATCAGCCTTCCAAACACAAGTGGGGGATTAATACTCAACAGCACAGTCTTTTTCTTTTATTATTTATTTATTTTAATACAAAGCTTTGGCATTAGCAATTTATGAAAAAATAAAATGTACTAAAAATAAATGCTTGTGTGGCATGATTGGTAAATGATGCACAAAAATAGGTTCTTTTTTTCCTTCAAGGCAATCAGTCAGAAAGCAGTTTGTTTCTTCTTTAAAACCATTCTACCCTATGGAATAAAGGAAAAAACACAGGTCAAGGATTAGTTAAAGGGTAGTCGTCAACGTTTTAAAGTAACAAGGAAAGTGATCCTAACTGAAGGGCGGCCAAGGGCTGTCCCCGACTATTTCCCAACCCCAACTGGTAAAGCCAGTAGCCATTAGCATTTTCCTGAACTCAGCAGCTTCCGATCTGTGGGCAAGTGGTGCAGTCACCTTAAAAATGTGTTAGTATTCCCCAAAGAAATGCAGGGAAAGGTGTAGGCTAACAGCTTGTTTAAAAATGGGGACAATTCCACAATCGACAACTTTTCCTGGTTTGAACACATGTTCTAAAATGCTGAGTCTCCTGAAATCTGTAGCTGTTGTCCTTAAAATATGCTCCCCCTTTATCCTCAAACAAGAATGTCATTATTTATTTTGAAATAAGATTTAAAGTACAGACTTCCAGGGACGTCTGGCTCTCTTACGTGAATGCCCCTGATCACGTGTACGTGGGTCTGAAGGCACCCCGTCTTTGCCGCTTCCTGCGCTGCCTCGGGCTAGTGCTGCCCCCCGCAGCCGGGCACTGTGGGACTGCCCAGCTTCCTGAACCCTGTACAGTCCGGTTCACCGCCACGGTTCCCAAATCACAGCTTCAGTTCTCTCTTTCTGCTGAGGCCAGATCCGTATTTCAAGCCACTGTCCTTGCTACCACACAGCCTCTAACACTTCTCGATTTCATCTCCTCCCCATCACCCTGACTTCCTCATTCAACTCTGCGTTTTCACCTCTCATCTTCCTGCCTACGGTCCACCACCCAAGGCAACTTCGCGGCCACCAGGATGGAAAGCCTTACACGTTATTCACCGTTTACAAGAATAAAGTTTAAATTCTAGAGTCTGCCCACCACTGCCACTACCGCCTATAGTAGACACATCAAACACACAACTCTCTGAACCTGCTCTGCTTTTTCCTCATTTTGTGCCCTAATTATGCCCAGCCTAGTTCTAAGTTACTCCCTCCAGGAAGCCTTTTTCAACTCCCTCAGGAAAAAGTGGCAGGAACCCGGTGTCTGTGTGACACTGGGCGACCGAGCTCATCTCATACAGGCACTAGCTCACATTAACCAGCGGCAGTGCCCTGAGCAGTGCCGCCCCTCGTCCCCAGGGCTCTTGCACGACACAGGGCACACTGGTATCTAAGCAAAGGAAAGACCATTCACAGCAACTTCATGTAAGCTCTATGCTTTATTATTTACTCTAGTTTATACTGTAAGATAACAACATGTTGCTTTGATAGTATTTCCTCAGAAAAGCTGGATATTAGATATAAGGACTTCTAATGGGTGAATCAAAAATTTTAAACTTACTTATAATCAACTAATGCAGCCATAACATTAAAGGTACTTCTGAAAAATAAAAAAATGACCACTGCCAAAGACAGTACAGAAGTCCAAACAAAGGTCCCAATGCCTTTAAACCTCTCTTTGTCATCATGCTTTTAGAAAACCAAATTTGTCATCTTCAACCACATTGTTTGGAGCTCTTAAGTGGCTCTCTGCAGTAATCAGAGACCAGTGGTGTAAAGGGAAGAGGCTGACCCAGAAACACTGGGCTTCAATGCCATGCTCTGCTTCCTAGGGCATTTCCAGGGTCACTTGGGCTGTACGGGCCTCAGGTTAGTCCTCTGCATATAGCGCAGGCTCAGGTGGCCGAAAGGAGAAGTAAATACTTAGAAACAAGAGGGTTCGTTAACCAACGGGGGCAAGTTCAAATCTTTGCTGGCATTGCTACAAGAAAGGCTGTCTAAGAAAAATAAACAAAGATGGGTGCTAGTATGAGCAAAAGGTAGTAAGTTGAGAACTAAAAATTCAAAGTTCTTTAGATCAGTGTTCCTGAAACTTATTAATGGATTGTAAAATCAATGTACGAGCTCACAACTAGCATTAACAACAAAGTACAGAGGACAGATCAGAGAATACTGCATGTATAAGGAAAATGTCTATGAAATTTCCGTTCCAGCCATACACATGGGAGTCCTGGGTCATAATGCAAAATGTATCTCTTACAGTGGGAGATGGTCTAAAAGAGGCAGCAGAGAACCCAGCCCCTTTCCTCTGTCTCTGCTCGCTCCCGGGAAGGGACCACTTGGGACACACAGCTCAGGAGGGCCTCTCAGAACTGGAAGGAATCGTAGACTTTCACCTGATGCAGGAACAGCTCCAGCTTTGTAGCTTGTCTGAATAAGCAGGTCCTGGCAAGCTCACTAGCTTTCAAGACATCCCATGTCATGGAGGACAACTGTGACTGACTGACAGTTCTTTCTTACACTGAGTAGAAATCTACCTCCCTGTAGATGTCTCCGGAACTACACCATTAAGTGTCGCTTCTGTGAGCCGCGGTTAGTCACCATGGGACTGTTAGGAGTATTAACAGGGCAATGTGGGGAGTAACAGAGCTCAACACAGGAGTAAGTTCTCCGTAGGAGCTATTCTTATCTTTGGGAGTCCTTCAAAGACCTGGAGACACTTTTCATCTTACCCAGGTTCCTTTTTCTAAGCTAAGCATCCCCAAGACATTGGATGAATTTTCAGACTCCTTTTATATCGAGACATGTCAGTGTTCCTCTTCAAGTCTGAGCAGAACAATTCAGAAATATTGAGCGGAGAGTAAAACAGAGGCATTGATCCTTTGCTCTGGTCTAGATGTTTCTACCATGACCCCTTGGAGGACAGCCCATGATAGATACTGCCTGCTACTGAGCCAGGCCTTCTGGGTCTTGGGTAATGTTACAGGATGTGACATTTGTTCCAGTTACTTCATTATGCTGACCATAGCCGACTCATTTCCTCCTGTCCAGGCTATTTCAATTTGAATGTCTGGGCTACGCTCCTCTGCAAATTGTAGGACATGATTTCCATGGATCCAAATCTAGGAACTGAGAATGGGCTGTAGAGAATGTCTAACTGATCTTTACACTCAAAATCTCTCCCTGCATCACCCACAGATCTTATAACTCGTTCCTCAAAAAGGAAAAAAAAAAAGGACATTTACTTTTCTTACGTTTAGAGAGAATTAGCGTGATACAAATATACACCTATAAATGCTAGGCTTTAACAAGGTTTATTTGAATAGTGAAGTAGAGGAGAAAACCTCCTTTGGAAATCGAACTTCAATAACCTTGCTTACTTAGGTACTAAGAAACACAGTATGAAAAGCAAATATATACAAATATATTTTACTTTGTGTTTATTTGCTTCTTTGACTACTACCCTGTTTATATTGCAAAATTTCAAAATTCACTAGATTAGCAGTGTTAAAAAATTAAAAGCATAATTAGTCATGGTTGAATACTTGGGAATTTCATCCCAATAGAAGAGGAGTAACCCCAGGTACATGGACTTTTGATTGATTTCTGATTAAGCCAATAGAGTCAAGCCCTGAGTAACCCTGCAGAGGTGGTGAGGGAGGTGGCAGTGCTTTCATCCCTAGGGGGCAACAATCCATGTACTTCGAGTAGAAGCCTAGGCTCACCAAGTGGTGCCACATGCCTGCCCTTACATCTGGTCAGTGCTGCCTCATCTTGCTCACAAATTTTCACAAGTGACTAGACTTGGTCAAGGTCTTGCTTAAATCACAACACAAGTTCAGTGTAATATTGTTAGAAAAGTAAACTGTAATAGAAGACTATCTTACGAATGCATGAGGTTACCTAGAAAATTAAAAGAGAGCTATTAAATTAAAAAGGCAATCTCATTTTGGTTATAATTTTTTTGTAAGACAAAAAGGGAAGAGAGATTTCAAAAACTTCATTAATAAAGAATATTTATAAATTTATTTGCTAAAATAAACTTTCCACTGGCTTTAAATTTTTCATCAACATTTTGGGGAAAGAGACATTGAATGACCATTATCTCCTACAATTAAAAAGGCTTTATAAAAAATTAAGTAATTCATGTTATTAAAAAAAATCAACATATAAAAGCACAATAGGATATTCTGGTGACCATCTTTCATGCATCCCCCCACACTCTTTCTCACACTCAATTTCTTTAAATGGGATCATGAAAATCATCTTTCAGAGTGGTTTTGATTGAAGGCACAGAAATAATATTCAAATGAATAATTGCAGTATCAAGGCTAATGGGAGAAGGGTTGGACTAAGACATGGATCTAAGATCTATGACTTAGATTCTGAGTCATGCAGGCATTTATGCATGGAACTGAAATGTTATGTCCCAGGTAATCTGGTTTCTAATAGGTAACATGTCTACTGAGCATTCTCTAAAATATCTGATGTATGAACTGAGCGTCTGGCAGATTCTGAGCGGCTGCAAGATGACCATTAAATTACTTAAAATTTTGCTAAAAGTGCCCAGCGTGCCACTATTTGCTGTGATTGGTTTTCACTCATTTGTGAAATCATCTAGTTTGATGAGTCAGTATGGGAGTAAGAAAAAGAGGTGACTGCAGGTGAAATACTTCCCTCCAAACTGGTTTGAATCACAGGCACTCACACAGCTCCTATGACTCTGTAATCTATTTCATGAAAGAAAATTAAATTCAAATGATAAAGACAGATGGCTATCTTACTCACAGAACTTAAAACATCTCAGTGGAATTGATTGGCTAACATTTATTGAGCACTTATTATGTACCAGGCACTGTGCTAAACACTGTATATGCTAATTCTCACAACCACCCTATGATGTACTCCTACCATTACCCTGTTTTATGGATGACTAAAGTGAGCCTCAGATAAATATAACTTCCCAGCTCACATAAGCTGAAAATGGCGAAGCAGGGAGTCACATTCAGGTATGTCTGCCTCTAGAATCTGAGCAGTTAACACTGTGCTGCGCTGAAGTAAAACTGCATCAGGTGGGCTCAACAGAAACAGACAGCTGGCGACCTGTTGGATGAGGCTGAGACTACTTTTATCTGAAGGCTGAAGAATGCCAACTGACTATGACATCCTCCCAACACATCACCGTTCAGGGGTGCCAAGGGCACCTCCTCCACGCAGCTAGCCGACAGATCAGGTGGGAAGTAATTAAATCATGTCACTGAAGTGGAGGTTACTTATCCAGAGTTTCTACGGCTGAACAATGAGCATTTAATTAAATCAATTACATGAGCTTGGCTGACTGTGAAAATGGCAGACATAACTGAACATGGACAAGGTGTGAATTCCACCTGTACCATTTACGTTCAAATTTGAGCAGTGTCCCCGGGTGCTTCCATCTTGAATTAGTTTGCCTGAGTACTGGCAAATGACTGAATATTATCCTATAGTAAATGCCCATAATTTAAAACAAAAGAAACAAAACCATTTTACCCCTGTGGAAAGCTAATTTTGGAAAACTACTGGATCAAAATGGACTTTAACAGTCATCTAACCCAATTTTCTATTCTCTGAAAAACCTCTCACCCACAGCAGCCCTGATAAGTGACATCCAGCTTCCGAGTCCTGGGCACTCCCCACTCTCCACAGCAAACCACCCACTGGTAAGTAGCCTCACTGACAGATACTCTTCCTTTTGCCGAGGTGAAGTCTGCCTTCCTATAACCTACCCTTTGGTCTTCCATTTTGCTCTATAGAGAACAGTTTAGTTATTTTCTCCTGCCCACCTTCTGCCCCCGACAGGCTTCCCAGTTGCTTCTTTCTTGCAGATTAAGCATCCAATTCACTGTTCCTTGACCTTCGCCAGGGTGCCACTGCTCCATCAAAAGCTCAGTATATCAGACTCCAGGTAAAGTCTGACAGGCACATTGTAAAGGGGGCTGTTCCTGTCAGTGATTAGGACACAAACGAGTTTTATCCTACAACTGTACTGCTTCCCTTGGCATCTGCATTACACTGTTGGTTCACTCTAAATTTGTGGCTAATGAAAGGCCCTAGATCTTTTCTTAAGTGAGCTACTGAGGCTGAGCAAGGTGAACTTCCAATATGAGTTACTGTTCATGAAATAAATTGTTTTGGTAGGTATGATCCCATCAGAATCAGTATGAAACTGGTGAAGGCCAATTCTCACTATCTATTAAAATGACTCTACATATTTTCTTGGGATCATCTGGCACATGCAATCCAAAAAATAATTTGTTACTTACTCATTAGCATTCAAGCTAGCTGTGGCTCTGATGATCATGTAGCAGAGTGTGAGAGCACTGAGGAGGCCAAAACTGGCAATAATAAACCATTCTTCTGTTGACAAAGGAAAGGGAGGAAATCACTCTGGGGAGAAGGCTTAAGTGAAATCGATGCCAACATTTCCCTCACAAGCAACGACGCAGACGCCAACGGAGGAGTAAGCCCAGGCTGGCTCAAGGAGTGAAGCAGAAGGAGGTTTGCCAGAGCTACTAACTGGAGGAGGTTAGTGGAAGGAGTGGTAAGAGCTGCAAGGGAGAGAGGAAAGCATGGCCCAAACGTTTCTTCCAGTTCAGGTCCTGAGGTCTGTGAGGAGCGTGGCCATCAAACACCGTGTAGTGAAAATATGTATATAAAATTGCACATGGATGCAGATTTTTTTACTTATTAAATTAAGTGACAGTAGCCCAGCTGGGCATGGATCAGCAGTTGAGCATCAACCTAAGATCCAGGAGACTGTGGTTTGATTCCCGGTCAGGGCACATGCCCAGGTTGCAGGCTCGGTCTCCCAGTGGGGGGCGTGCAGGAGGCAGCTGATCAATGACAACTCTCTCATCAGTGATGTTTCTATCTCTCTCTCCCCTTCTCCCTTCCTCTCTCTGCAATCAATAAATATACATTTAAAAATAAATAAAGTGACAATAAAGTAAACTAGCCATACATATAACTTCTCCTTCTTCATTTTGTCTCTTCTGCATGGTCATGTCATTCATTCTCAGAGAATGGCTTAGAAATACGGAGTAGTGGTTCCAAAGGTCTTGTGGGCATACCAAGCAGTCTGCAGGCTGGCCGTCCATGGCATTCACTTCTACCTTCCTTTCTCTTATGCATGGGTTATAGTCTTGACTTAAAAAGCACATGAACTGGTGTCTCCAAAAAGGACTACCCTTCACAACCTCACCACTGGCAAGCAGCACTGGCTGTTCTGGCTCTGTCCAGCATTAGTAGGAAGGGTAGGTGATTCACGAGATACTTGGCCCATCCAAGAGTTGAAAACCACTGGTACACAGAACGCTAAAGATTTTTATCCAGTCTCGTTTTAGAACCAGGAGGTCAGTTTATATTTTCCCTTAACTTTTCAAAGTCTGTATTGTAACATTCCAAAAACAATGTTTACTGAGAAGCTAGAAAATAACCTGAGAACGAATTTGATATCCTTTTTAAAAGTCTGAACACTAAGATGTTTCCTAGAGTGTACACTAACTAGGGCTGGCTTAACAAAGTGTTGCACAGTAGAACTCCCTATATTACCTGCAATGAGGCAGAGAGAAGAGATTCACTGCTTGAAATAACAGCTGTTTATATGCAAAGGCTATGTTGTAACATGGGTGTTTCTCAATCTGGCTTTCGTGAATCCTACAACTATGCAAAACAGTGTACACCTAGAAATTTTTCTAGAAAAATTGGATTTTAAAAGTGGTGATCTTTAATTCTCTGCCCACCTTGGTTTGTATTATTAAAAGACTTAGCAAAGTTGTTCTTTTAAAATAACAGTGCAGGCAATGCTCCTTGGATTATAGATTCCTCATTAGAATGAATTTATAAGGCTTTTCTTTAAGTCAAAATAAACATTCAAGGACCCACACAGCCTGGCTGGTGTGGCTCAGTGGTCAAGCATCAACCTATGAACCAAGAGGTCATGGTTCGATTCCTGGTCAGAGCACATGCTTAGGTTGCAGGTTTGATCCCTAGTAGGGGGTGGGCGTGCAGGAGGCAGCCGACTGATGATTCTCTCTTTCTCTCCCTTTCCCTTCCTCTCTCTGAAATCAATAAAAACATAAAAAAAAACACAAACAAAAAACCCACACAAAATCCACCATTCTACCCACATATATTTTAAGTTAGGAAATACGTATACTGGCATTTAAAAAATTAAGAGATGATTGGTTATCCTTAATTTTTTTCAACTTAGACTTTTATACATGATAAACAGACTAACTTTTAGAACTTCAATTATGTCTATGCTTCTGAATTCTGAATGTACCATCCATATATGCATGGAATTTCAGTGATAAAAACTAGTAATCAAAGGAAGTAAACACCATCATAACAATACCAAATGGGCTCACAGATATTTTAGCAAAGATCCACCGCAGCTGGGGTCTCGATCATCTCTGTTCTCCCAGTGTGTATTTAGCACAGTGCCGTGCACACAGTGGATGCTGGCTGAACGCACTGTAGTTGCTATGGAACTACAGAGTTTTGAGGGAAAATAGAGGCAGCTTAGGTGTAATTTAACCACATAAATTTTATTTACTAACATGCATAAATTCTGCTAAAGGTAACTTGATTAATGAAGTATTTTTTATTGTCAAAATAGAAGACTTTGAAAGGATATTCCTACATCAAATATAACTGAATCAGTACTTAATGTTGTAGTAGGTGCTCAATAAATGTTGATCAATGAAGGGCTTATAAAAACTCAACAAACAAACTACTTTCATCTCCTTTCTATTTGACCAATTTAAAAAATCTAGAGCATAAAACCTAAATGCCAAAGCAGAAAAATATGAAGTGCTGTTAAACAAATCATTGGGAAATGGTCGGAAATGAATCAAACCATATGAAAGACTAGTTTTACTTATTTTATAACTGAATGAAGTCTCCTTGAGTTTAGACAAATGATAGAATAAAACCTGGGAAATCATTTTCTATTAATTTTCGGCTGTTGAGAAACATATCTACATTAACTGAACAGACCACGTGAGTCTTACTATGTCAAGGGAAACATTTTTCTTAACGGCTTGACCACTGTACCGACTCTGAGTTAAGCAGAGTCTCATTAGGGTTAGGGCTTGAGGCTAGAGGCAAGCAACGGCACATACTGGAAAAGGCAGCACCAGAGTGGTGATGAGATGGGGTGAAGTGTTGTTAGATGAAAATAACAAAGAAAGAATGGAAATGAAGAAAACAGTTGACTGGTTACAGGTGAATGAACACAAGGCCACATGCACACCTGCCAGCCACTCACAAGTTCTTAGGTCTGGCCATCAAAACACTCCGAGCGCTTCTCTCAATGATTCAGCAATGATGACATTCACAACTAGCCCAAGAGCACTTAAGGCAGATTTCCCTTTGGCTTTTCTCCCACCTTGTGTACAATTATACCAAAGAGGTAAGTGCTTAACACCAACCCTCATAAAAGCGTGAAATACAGTGAGCTGCAACAGGCCCATCTCAGCTGTTCCTAAGCTGTGGATTTTTAGGTTCAGATTCCAGATTAGTTTGCGCAGCCTGGGAACCAGAGAGCACTGGTGGTCACAGCCCCCACCCTCCTCCGCCCGTTGCTGCTGCTGCCTTTCTTCACATCCCAACATGACCTTTTAAAATGCCATCTGCATCACAATCATTTCAAAACATGTTTATAAACAGCTACGGAGACAAACCTCTGAACAAGTGCTGGTCTGGGCAGCTACTCCTATTAATCCCACACAAATACACAAACTCCCTATTATAAAGCAAGTTTCCTTATCCCCAGTAGCTGTTTTAACCAAAGTACCCATTACTTTTTCGGTTGTAGACTGTCTCTGCCCCCGTGACTGCCTCAACTCTCCTCTGGAATTGTCAACAACGCCAAATAGCAGCAGCAAACCTGCCATTCACCTGGGCACAGGGCCCACTTACTTGTTACTGCAATGTTGATCTCTCCCGTCCTAGGGGTGAGCTCTCCGTCCTGAGGAAGCGGTGAGATCCCGGAAGTTCGAAGTGGCTCAAGGCCAAGGGAGTTGTCACTGGCGAGGTCACCCAGGGCTGGTCTTCGGTTAACTGCTTGGGTTCTGGTAAGCCTTTCCATATCAAATGCTACGTTATCAGCGCATGGCAAATTTGGCTGCAAAATATTCCCAGATTAAAAGTACTTGTAAGAGTAACAATTTCTAAAGGTTTGACACCGTGTTGAAAAGACCTCAAGATTTTTTCCATGTGATTTCCTCTCATTTGTCTCCCCATCTACCCTTTCCACTCTCACCCAAGAGGTTTTCTTTAAAAGAAACGGGTGATTTCCTACCCAAAATGGTACAAAGGAAAACCAAAATCCACTGCAGAACTGAGAAAATTGGGTACTTCATTTTTTTAAAGAAATGATAACCTTGTGGCGGTGGCTCAGGCCAAGCAGGTCAGTAGTATAAAGCTGACAAACAGTCAAGTGTAACTTTGGCTCAATGCTCAAGGACAGCAGGTGACATGCAACACCCCTTTCATCCTAGTAACTTCTCTGTAATGCCCCACTTATCTAGCCGTCAGTTTTTAAATATCTTCCCCCTTTAAACACAAATAAAGCTTAAAACCAAGAGCAGATAACGCTGAAAAGACTTTTGAACTCTAAGAAAACTGTTTCAAAATCTAAGCATCTAATCCTGAAGGACAGCTATAGAGCTGCCTTGGAGCCAAAGCTTACTCACTGAAAGTGGATGTGCAAGTCTTCTGATTTAACAATATGGCTATCTGGTTTCCCTAGCAACCTTCATTCTTTTAGCTGAGAACAGATAGCGTATTAGAAGCAGAATTGGGAACGGTGGCTGAGAGAAGCTCATATACTGAGAAGTGACAGCCAACCAAACCCAACACAAATGGCTTCCTAGGCAAAATAATTGCGTTCCAGATCACCCCAAAGCCCAATTAACAAAAAATTACAGCACAGTGTAATAACTGGTGCTTATAATGATACTCCATTAGTTAGGATTATTATTATTTTTTTATATATAAGGAACCATAGTAGCTTGTAATACATTTTAGAAGGATTTTCATTAAAAACGGTAGGAAAAAGTATTAGCAGTTCAAAGAATAGGATTTAAAAAACAAAACCACCAAGAATGCTGGAGGAACAAAAGTGGCTACGTTAGTATTTTCCAAAGTGTCTACTACATGTCAGACACATTGCAGCAGCTCTAAGTTAAACCTCACAAACGGGGGCGACTTTGTTTCCCAAGGGACATCTGGCAATGTCTGGAGACATTTTTATTGTGTGACCAGGTAGTCATGCTACTGGTATTTAGCAGAGGCCGGGACGCTGCCAGGCAGTCCGCAGTGTCCAGTGCTGAGGTGGGGAAACCCTGTTCAACTGCAACGTCAGCGACCTCTGAAGACAAAGGGTAAATGGGCAGGAATGTCCATTTTAGGACTGCACCTGAACTGTCATCTGAGAGCATATTTCAAACAGGAACACTTAGGTCTTCTCTGGGTTGCCAAGCTAAAATGAAGAATTCATCTGCTGGGTCAAACTAAACTTTTTGTTCCATAAGGAGATTATTCATTCATTCTTTTTTGAGACTAGAAAGGCTTTTTGTCTAAAAAGCAGTAATCCTGGATATGTACTTATCTTAATAAAGGAGCGCTAACTGTAGGAAGTCTCTGAGGCCCTCGGCTAGTCAGTGCTGACTCGCCTGCCACAGCTGAAGTGTTCTGTGCCCCGACCAAAGCCACTGCCGGGGTTAAGGCTCGCCCAGGGCTGCCATCACCCACCTCACCGCTTACCACTTACCAACGCCCAGAAGAGTAAAGCCAAATTCAAGAGGAAGAAACGTAAGTGATGACATAGTTTTATATTATGCTGAACACAGGAAAAACTGCTACTGGAATGGAGTCAAAAGTCTGTATTCTATTCCTTTTTTAGTTCTCCACCACTCACCCACCACCACCCGACAGAGGGAGGCATCCTGGTGGACCAGCGCAGTTCTTCCCATTCCCTTCCGGGAGTTTCCTGAGATGGGCTGGAAGAAGGGCCCTGTTGGACTAACCAGGTATGGGCAAAGAAAGCCAGTGTCCTCTCCTGAGAAGTAGCCACCCACTTGTGCTGTTCTGACACTTAGAGATGAGACTTCACAAAATGGGCAACATACCACAATTCCCAGGGCCTTCAAAATATTAAGTTTGCACATAGGACAGGTACAATGTTCACTAAGCCAGGGATCCACGCAGGATTTGTGGAAAACATGCCTATAAAAGAAAATGGAGAACTGTATCAGAAATGATATACTGAAACACTATTAGGTCAAAGTGTAAAGAAATTGTATTAACATATCACTGACAGAAAACCGCCTGAACCCAATCCTATATATTGATAAGATTGTATAATGAGAACTGATTAAGTTGTATTTGGCTGTTTCGTCTTTTTATTCCACCAAATTCCAAAAAAGATTTGAGGAAACTTAGAAAGTTAATTAATAATGAAGACAATGAATTACATCTGATAAATTAGTTGTTTTCTATAATGGTTAAAGCAGGAAAGGAGAATTTCAAAAATATATTAAACATCAAAAAGAGTTCTCTGTATAATTGTTTCATGGAACTGTTTAAATGCCATTTAAAACATTACTTAAAAAGACTTCTAAGCAACCTTATGCTAAATGTCTGTATAAGTTACAGGGCAGTTGGGACTATTTTTAGGAATGAACAGTATTTCAGAATCAGATAACACTTAGCTAGCAGTTTTCAGCTGAAAGGTGAAAGGGAGAGAGAGGTTGTTGAGAGGTGATTCTCTCTTTCACTCAGAAGAGTAGAAAGTCCCAACCTTGTGATTGGAAATAAATCAGCCATGGAGGGTTTTGCATTCCTAGAAAAGGAGCTTGTGCCCTCTGGGAGAGAAGGCATTGAGAAAGCGGTAGCAAACACTACTCAGCTCAAGTACCCCTCCCTGCAGCTCGGAGCGGCTGAGAGGAAGGCATGGGGGAGCCAGAGTCCTGGCCACACTGGGAAGAGGGCAGCCACCAAGACATTCCAGGTGCCTTTGGAGGAACTGGAATTTGAGTTTTGGGATAAGATGAAAGAAATTTTGAGAAAGATACCAAATTGAACCATGGTATGTCTTTAAAACTTTGTTAATTTATATCTATCTTATAAACTTATATACAGCTGTTTAAAAATGCGGTTTTCATTTTAAAAGAGCAAGCTATAAAAAACACTGCTTCAATTGGGATTTGAAAGAAATGTTTGTGCTGACAGCTTCAGCCTGAAGCTGAACAATAAACACTCACCTACCTACCACCCATTCGGTGGCCTTGCATCCATTTATTTGGGATAAGAATAAAGATCTCGAAGACTGAATTTATCAAGCTAATCTGAAATGTGCAGAGAATGCACTGAACAAGAATCCAATGGTCCCTGAATGTTTTTATTTAAATCTGAAGGTTTTTACTTAAGAGATGGAAGTCACCAAACAGCAGTTGAGACATAAATATAGGGTGTCCCCCCAAAAATGTATATACACTTTGAATAACTATTAATTCCAATGTTTCTTTCTTTTTAGATTTCACCCATTGAAATTAATAATAATTCAGTGCATATACATTTTTGGGTCACCCTGTACATGTGGTATTTAAGGCATCGGCACGTCCGCTTGTTCCTCATACCCTGGTCTGAGCGCTCCCAGAGGGAGGTGAAGGCTCCTTGCCGCGGGGGACTGCCGAGGGTCTGCTCAGTTGGGACTACCCTGTAGCTGTCAACTGTGCCCAGCTGGCTGTAGCCTAACAAAGACCAGAACTAGGCTTTCAATCCTTTTTGGGAATATAGACCCCTTTGGTTTGACATAAATGACAGATCCTCCTCCTACAAGGGCGCATCTGCCTAATATCTGGCACAGGTTTTTGGGAGGACCATGGACGCTGAGGGTTTGGTTAGCGTTGGGTGGGGGTGGGTAGCTGGGAAGGTGCTCTAGGCCAGTTCCATGTAGGGTGGACAGTGGAATTTGGCCGGGTGACAGGTGACCTCTGATGGGCCACTTTGGTCCAAGGGTGGGTGGGGCAGCTGACTTTGAGCAGATGTTTGTGGAGACCTCAGTTTAAACAAGCAGCAGTGGCCTGGGTATCAACAATGGTTTGGCTCTTGCCCTTCCACTCTTGCCAGCATTTCTGCTTTCCTCTTTCTAAAACCTGCCTTTTCTATTCCTGGTTACTCAGGAAGGACAAAGTGGCATACTCCCATATTTAATTTTTACAGTTGCAAGAGTTGAGTGTTCTCTGCTCATCTCTCCCTTTAAACCTGAGTTATAGATTTCTCTCGTATTGGGGGTGTTTAATAAAAAGTGCTGGGTCCCTGCTATGGGGCACCCTAATGAAGGACAGCGAAGATTGACTGGTTCCCAAGGGACAAACTGAGAATGCCTCCCTTCCTTAGGTAACTCAAAATCCAGAAGAAATGTTTTCTTAAAAAAACAATCCCCAGCCTTTTCCGTCTGCCTGCCTGCCCACCAGTGGCTTTCCTAGCCCCCATACCCACCCGTCAGCTCGCTGTCTCTCCCTGCCCTTCCCCGGCCCGCAGCCTGCCAGTCTGACCCCACAGCACAACCCTCTTCTGAAAACAGCCCCAGTGACTTTCCTCTTCCCCCGCTGGCCCTTCTGACACAGCCCATCACTGGCCTGGTCACTGAGGGGTCTTGGCGAGTGAGCGCCCTGCACCGTTTCTTCTCTTCATCAGCCTCTCTCCCAGCCTCTAGCTCCTACATCGCCAGGCTCGGCGCGCCACGCCCTCCCTCCTGGGCAGAGCCCTGGGGCCTTCTGACTCCCAGCTGTTTCCTCTGGCAGCTGGGGTGGGGGTGGGGAGTGCTGGGAGGCTGTCTGAAGCAGTAGGTGAAGTGTACACAGGGCATACTTAGAACAGCACCAAGGACGTGCAAATGAAAGGCATTATTAAACATACACTCAGGCAAAGTAACATTCCCGTTTCACACGATATCCCGATAAATGGCCAGAGCACTTGAGCATGCCTGGCATCCAGACACCTGAAAGGGCAACACCTGGGGCCAGTCAGGTCTTGCAAAGAAGCCCCTTTCCACTGTTATAAAAGAGTCAACAAAACAATAAAAATACACACAGAAGCAGAAAAGGGCCCTACATACCTAGGGCTGAATGGCTACTGGGATGGAAAGCAGGGGGTGGTCAGGACATGAAATGTCAAAAGGACAAGCAGATCAGAGCTTCAACAAAGTCCTTTATTCCTATGAGAAACACTTTGGGATACAGAATGCGACACGTATGGCACATAAAAGGAACAAACCCAATAATACTGAGATACAGTGCTTCCCCTTTCCTACTTCCCACACACTACTAACTAGTGAGCAGAACAACGCTGGGGTGGGGTGAGGAGTCTACAGTGAAGGTGACTTGTTTTCACAGCTCTGCAGCCTCTTGGTGCCGTACAAGAACCTGGCAAATATAAAAGGATCCAGGATTATTCAAGGTCAGAGACAAGCACTGTTTCCCCCAGCTGGGACTGGCAGCAGATACTGTTTTGAAGAGGCCCTCCCTCCGAGGTGGGGCAGCACAGTGACACGTCAGCCAGCAGCCATGACTGACCCATTTTAGTTCTTAAAGTGGCATCTTAGATACATGTTTATCCACGATGCTTATGAAAAGTATTTTTATCTAATAAAAGATGTGTGGATGACCTTTAAATAAAGAGGCTGAAGGTGAGATCTGCCATTCCTAAGGTGTGCTGGCTAACATACAAAGGATGATCAACTGACACAAGCGGGGGGCCAACAGCAACGCCAGCTACCATCTGTCCACAGCACATTGATGTGACAGAGATGGAAAGTAAAGGCCATGCAACGAGAGCCAGCAATCCAGGAGAGAGCAGCATTTAGGCCCCGGTCAGTTCAGGCTCCAGACAGGCTTGTTAAAATTAGAGACAGACAGACAGGCACTAAAGCACCTGGGCTTTTCTTCTCCCCATACTCGGGAGAAGGGGGGACAGTGAACGCAGACCCCTTCCAGTCTGGCTGTGAAGGAAGAAGCTGTAGGGTGGTGTCTGAAGATGGGTTTGAGAGCTGGAGTAGCAAAGGCCTGAACGCTGATGAGCAGACAGAAGGAATAAAACTGGTGGGAGCAAAGAGCAGGTCCCTGGGGAAGGGAAGGGCTGGCACAAAGAGCCTGTCAGAGAAGAGGATGGGGAAGGCTGCCACGGTGGGTGTGGAAGCAGGCTCGCGGAGGCTCGGGCCAGGAAGCAGTTTCAGCTGTCTAAGAGCCACTGCTTTCTCTTCAAGGCTGATGGTGAAGGTATCTGCTGACATGAGGAACAAGGAATGAGTGAAGGTGTTTAAGGAGAACAAATACAACTGGGAACGCTGCCGTGAGGACCAGGGAGAGGCAACCAGGGAAAGAGAAGGGCTCAGCACCCCGGGAGGCAGAGGAACCAGAGTGGCAGCAACAGTGAAAGGAAGAAGCAGTGGAGTCACACCTCTACTTGGTGTCAGAGACCAACAGACCCAAGAAGAAGGACAGGGTACCCAGGCAGAGGCAACACAGTAATAGCAGCACAAGGCAAGAGTTAATTTTAAGAGAAATCTATTGGAAAGAAGAGGCTTGGAGAAGACTTGGAGTAAAGATGAGTACTTGTGTGGAGCCATCCTCTGGGCCAGTGGTTCTCCAATGGAGACAGCTGGAATTGTTACAGTTGTGTGTGTGAGGGGGCTGCTACTGGCATCTACTGGCTAGAGCCAAGGATCCTGCTAAATACCCTGCAGTCCACAAAACAGCCCCCCACCCCCAGCCAACAAAGAATGGTCTGGTCTCAAATGTCAACAGTGCCCAGGCCGACAAACCTTGTTTCAGGTCAGCAGCTGTCAACTTGGTCCCACAGCATGTTGCTCAATGCACAAAGTTAATTTTTATTATACCCCAGAATCATGCTGCTGTTACCATTTCAGTGAGGTGATGTTTTGCTGAGCAGGGTGTGCAATATAGTTTAGAGAAAGCTACAACTTACTGAGACTTAAGAGGTAAGTGTAACAGACACCAACCTGCTCCAAAGCAAAAGGGGATCTTTGACACACAGGCAGGGCAGGAGTGAGTGGTGCCATAACTATGGATGTAAAGAAATGCTGTTAAGTTTGCCCAAATCCTGATACTCAAAAGCAGATCACAGCCCTGGCGGGTGTTGCTCAGTGGTTAGAGCAGCAGCCTGCCACTGAGCAGCAGCCTGCCACAATCTGAAGGGTTGTGGGTTCTATTCCTGGTCAAGGGCATGTACCTGGGTTGCAAATTCAATCCCTGGCCTGGGTCAGGATGCATGTGTAGGCAACCAATTGATGTATCTCTATCACATCTGTTTCTTTCTCCCCCCATCCCTCCATCCCCTCCACTCTCTTAAAAAAAAAAAAAAAAATTAATGGAAAAAATATCCTCAGGTGAGGATTAACCAAAAAAGAACAAAAAATAAAAGCAGGTAACTGATGACCCTGCTTTGTGATGTATCCTGCCAACCTTTCCCTGACTTGTATTTGTATGTGTATTTCCTTTCGATTCATGCTTTAGACTGTAAATGACTACATGGAAAAAACTGGTAATGCATAACTTAATTTTCTATAGGACAGCTTACATTTAATTTTATAGATTTACCTTCATATGTAAACTAGTTATTAAATTCCATAACTTTTTAAAACACCGATCTTTCTAGGCTCAAAATAGATCACTTTGGGAATAAGTAAAATAATAGTAGCTCATGGAGACAACTGCTACTGATTATTTTATTCATTCACGTCCTGCTTTATTAGAGGCTTGGAGTTGTGTGATGTGTTGTAAAGCAAGGGAAGAGGAAAGATCTTTGATTTTAGGCTTCTCCAATGGTGCTTTCTTATATTTCCATCAATACTTGGAACTGTGTATCTTAATGTTTCACATTCCCTAGCATGGGATAGCACCATGGTAGGACCTGACATGCTAATACAGAAAACGTGCTCTTTTTAGGGCACTGAGTGCAGGTGAGCACCCTCCTTCTGGAGGGAGGTATGGGCCCTGTGTAAAAAGCAGACCTCTGTGTCAGCTCTGCCATTTCTGAACAGTGTGGCCTTGGCATGAACTGTTGGCTTCACAACCCTTCAGTGTACATGGGGAGAAAACACTGACCCTCCTACAGGAGAGAGGAAATGAACTGCACAGAGCAGAGTGCCTGACCTGGAGGCAGCGCACAACACTCATGCACCCTCCCACTCTGCATGAGCCAGGTTCAGGAAAGGACAACCCAAGTCCCTCGAGTTCTGGCACCCTGACCACATGAGCACTGCTGAGGCTTTATTGGAGGGCCTAGGGACGTGTTCTGATTCAAGGACGAGAGGAACGGTGGCTAGTTTTGAAACCCACATAAGTCACAGAATTAACTATTTTTGACCTTAATGCTTTTTAGACTATGGAAGTGGCCAGAGGTTGTGCCCCTGTGTTTCTCATAACTAGAGAAAGGTTTGTGCTGCCTGGGGGAGCACAGCTCACCACTAACTGCAGCCCCCACTACGTGCAGTATGTAGCCGGGCCTCGGCCTGCTGGAAAAGCCCTGGCTAAGGTGGCTCTGAAAAGCAGTAGGCATCCCGACTCTGAGAGGCAGGCATACAAACCACACTACTAGTGTTTTTTTTTAAACCAAGAAAGTTGACATACTTGCAGGGGAGAATCCGGACAACATCATTCTGCTTATAGCTCTCTATGCAGACAGCACAGTGATCAAAGTCTGGGTCTGTTTCCTGAAAGGCAAAGCATAGGAACAAAGTCACATGCTAAAGCTAAAACTGCATGAACAGTGGAAAAACAATTCAGACAAGAACTTTCCTGTGGCAACTACAGGAGATAAGTGATTATAAAGTGAAAGGTTATAAAAAAAATTTAGTATGTTTCCATTTGCTTAACTATATCATATATCAACCCAAATTATATCTAAACCAATCTGTTTTATCTTTACACTAATGCTGTAATGATTAATACTAATTCTGTTTGTGTAACATCTTAGAAGTCAGAATTCTAATTTCCCGCCCACAACACATCATCTGTACATTGTATTGTGTTCACCACCCCAATTTAAGTCTCCGTCCATCACCATGTATCCCCTCTATCGCCTCCTCTACCCAACCCCGAATTCTAATTTTTTTTAAGATTCAATGAGTTGTCACCCTGGACAATGTTCCTCTCCTCTTCCCCACTCTTGCTGCATCACTATTCTGGTCTAGGCGTCACTGCACACCTCCACATCTGGGTGCTCACCAGGAGTCGCATGTTGCTAAGCACAGGCAGAAAAGATGACGAGCCCCCAGAAGACTGCTATCTGGCAGTCTGCCCCAACTGTGCTTGCAGATTTGGGGTAGAGAATGCATGGGCTCAACTTGATACTGGATCTTTATCAAGATTCAGGAAGATTCAGCCAGTTGTTTGGTCATCCAAAGTACTGATGTCCTTTCTTCTCTGGTGTGGGGATGGGTTTCCCTGAATTGTAATTAAACACAGCATCTACAGGAACCTAAGCCAGGAGAGGTGACACTATCTGTAGTGTCACTGCCACTTGGAATGAAACTCAACAGGTCAACTCTTGGCAGGTCTAGAAGACAGACACTGAGAAGAGGTGTTGATTTTAATTAGGAAAGATTGCTTTGTGCTAGCCTGAGAAACAAAACAGGGTGAAATTAACGTGGCAGTGAAGACCACCAGACCAAAAGTGGTAACTGTGACTGCTGCTCAGTTACATTTACCACACTATTGTGATGCTGCTTATATTTTCTGGAAGTGTTTTTACTTTTTTCTCCCTTGAGTGTACAGTAAAGTTTACCTACAATGTCTCCACCTTCAGGAGCTGTGTCATGAAAAATCGAATGTGGTGGTGTTAAAGCAGTGGGAATAAAAGTGAGCCAAGGCAATACAGTGGCAAAACAGAGGCTGGACAATCAGCTGAAATGATCCTTGCAGAGCTTTGTTAAATCATTAGAGTTGGGTGTGGGGCAGAAGATGATTTTGTTTTATGCTTCCAGAGATGCAATTTTTTTCATTCTAGGTAACCTTGACTATATGGAATATATAGGGTCTAATTTTAAGTTGCTGTTTTGTCCTCACAGAGCAGAAGCAGGGCTCTAGCATAACTTGAGCTCTGACTGGGGAATTGTGGTGAGCAGTCTCAGCCACAGCCTCTGTTACTGCCTCTCCGATCCAGTCCTCCTGTGCCATCAGGCCCAACCCTGAGCACTGTGCCCTTCTTGCCAACTGCTTAGCCCATGCTAAAGCCCATGTTAACCAAGACTCCCTTGCAATCTGGATCTCTAGTTTCCCATTTAATTGGTAAAGAAATAAAACACAAAGGAGAGGTGGCAAAGTCTGAGAAAGCATAGCAAAAAAGCAGCAAGAGAAAGACATTTAGTTACCAACAAGCTACCTCCCATAAGACTGTCAGCTGATTTCTCAAAAGAAACATTTCAGGCCAGAAGGGGGTGGCAGGAAATATTCAAAGTAATGAAAAGTAAGAACCTATAACCAAGACTGCTTTACCCAGCAAGGCTATCACTTGAAATTGAAGGAGAAATAATAAAGAACTTCCCAGATAATAAAAAGCTAAGGAATTTGTTACCACTAAGCCAGATTACAAGAAATGTTAAGAGCCTGCTTTAAGAAAGAGAAGAGACACACAGAACAGAGTTAAAAGAATAAAATGGCAAAAAATACATATCTATCAATAATCACTTTAAATGTACATGGCTTAAATGCTCCAAACAAAATACATAGGGTAGCTGAATGGATAAGAAAACAGGACCCATATAGATGCTGTCTACAAGAGACCCACCTCAGAACAAAAGACTCACACAGACTAAAAGTGAAGGGATGGAAAAGGATTTTTCATGCAAATTGAAGGGGAAAAGCTGGAGTAACAACATTTATATCTGACAAAACAGACTTTAAAACAAAGGCTATGCTAAGAGACAAAGAGGAAACTACATAATGACAGTGGGAGCAATTCAACAAAAGGATATAACCCTTATAAACATTTATGCACCCAAAATAGGAGCACTTAAATATATAAAACAAATATTGATGGCCATAAGAGATCAACAGCCAGACAGTTATAGTAGGGGATTTTAACACCCTACTGACATCAATAGATAAATCTTCAGGACAGAAAATCAAGAAGGAAACGGTGGCCTTAAATGAAGCACTCATGTGGATTATGTGGATTCAATGCATACTTATAGAGCATTTCACCCCAAAGCAGCAGCAGAATATACATTCGTTTCAAGTGCACATGGAACACTTTCTAGAACACATGTTAGAACACAAAACAAGAACCTTTTCTGCCCATAATGGTATGAAACTAGAAATTAATCACAAGAAAAAAACTGAAAAACATACAAAGACATGGAGGCTAAATAACATGTTACTAAACAGTGAACTAAACTAGCAATGAGATCAAGAAAGAAATAAAAAGATACCTCGAAACAAATAAAAATGAGAGCACAAAAACCCAAAATCTGTGGGACAGAAGAAAAACAGTCCTAAGAGGGAAATCTATAGTATTACCTATCTCAAGAAACAAGAAAAATCTTGCCCTGGCTGGTGTGGCTCAGTTGGTTGAGTGTCATCCTGTGCACATCCTGTGCCGGATTTATTCCTGGGGTTAGGGCACATGCCCGGGTTGTGGGCTCATTCCCCAGTAGGGAGTGTGCAGGAGGCAGCTGATGGATGTTTCTCTTTCATCAATGTTTCTCTCTCTCCCTCTCCCTTCTTCTTTCTCTAAAATCAACACAAATATTAAAAAAAAAAAAAAAAAAAAGAAACAAGAAAAATCTCAAACAATCTAACTTTACACTTAAAGGAACTTGAAAAAGGACAACAAATAAAGCCCCACATTAGTAGAAGAAAGGAAATAATAAAGATTAGAGCAGAAATAAACAAAAGAGTCTAAAAGCAACAATACAAGAGATTAATGAAACAAAGAGTTTGTTGTTTGAAAAGATAAACAAGGTTGACAAATCTTTAACTATACTCATCAAGAAAAAGAGAGGACTCAAATAAATAAAATCAGAAATGAGAGAAGAAACTGCACCAAAGAAATACCAAAGGATAGTAAGAAAATATTATAAACAACTATATGCTGACAAATTGGACAATCTAGATGAAATGGATAAATAGCTAGCACCATACAATCTTCCAAAACTGAATCAGGAAGTATCAGAGAATCTGAATAGACAGATTACAACTAATGGAACTGAAGCAGTAAAAAAAAACACCTCCTAACAAACAAAAGCCCTGGACCAGATGGCTTCACAGGTAAATTTTACCAAATTAACACCAAATCTTCCTCAAACTATTCTAAAAAATTCAAGAGCAGGGAAGACTCCCAAGCTCATTTCATGAGGCCAGCATTATCCCAATTAAAAAACCAGATAAAGACACTACAAAGAAAGAAAATTAAAGGTCAATATCCCTGATGAACATAGATGCTAAAATCCTCAACAAAAATATTAGCAAACTGGCTCTAGCGATACATTAAAAAGATCATACACCATGATCGAGTGGGATTTATTTTGAGCATGCAAGATTGATACAATATCCACAAATCAATAAATGTGACACATCACATAAACAGAATGAAGGATAAAAATCACACGATCATATCAATAGATGCAGAAAAAGCATTTGATAAAATCCAGCACCCATTTATAACAAAAACTCTCAGCAAAGTGGGAATAGAGGGAACATACCTCAGTGTAATAAATGCCATATATGACAGACCCACAGCCAGCATCACATTCAATGGGCAAAAACTACAAGCATTTCCCTTAAGATTGGGAACAAGACAGGGATGTCCACTTTCACTGCTCTTTTTCAACATAGTACTGGAGGTCCTACCCACAGCAATCAGGCAAGAAGAAATAAAAGGCAGCCAAATTAGAAAGGAAGTACTGCATATAGAGAATCCTAAAGATTCCACCAAAATATTACTAGAACTGACAAATGAATTCAGTAAAGTAGCAGGATACAAAATAAATATCTAGAAATCAGTTGCATTTTTATATACCAATAATGAACTATCAGAAAGGAAAACTAAGAAAACAACCCCATTCACAATTGTTTCAAAAAGAATAAAATACCTAGGAATAAATTTAACCAAGGATGTAAAAGACCTATACCTGGACAATTATAAGACACTGAAGAAATTGAAAAAGATACAAATAAGTGTAAGCATATACCATGTTCTTGGACAGGAAGAATTAACAGCATTAAAATGTCCATACTACCAAAGCAATCTATAGATTCAACTCAATTCCTTCAGGATACCAATGGCTTACTTCATAGAAATAGAACAAATATCCCAAACATTTTTGTGGAACCACAGAAGACCCCAAAGAGCCACAGAAATCTTGAGAAAGAAGAACAAAGTTGGAGGAATCATGCTATTTGATATCAAGCTATACTACAAGGCCACAGTCACCAAAAACAGCATGGTACTGGCATAGAAACATAGAGATCAATGGAACAGAATAGAGAGCCCAGAAGTAAATCCACACCTTTATAGTTGATTAATATTTGACAAAGGAGGCAAAAACATACAATGGACTAAAGATAGTCTATTCAATAAGTGGCGCTGGGAAAACTGGACAGATTATGTGGAAAAAATGAAACTAGGCCTTCTTACACCACAGACAAGAATAAACTCAAAATGTTTTAAAGACTTAAATGTCAGACTCAAAACTATAAAAATCCTAGAAGAAAATAGGCAGTAAAATCTCAGACATTTCTCGTAGCAATATTTTTTCTGATCTATCTCTTTGGGCTATGGAAACAAAAGAAAAGTTAAACAAATGGGACTACATCAAACTCAAAGTTTTTGCACAGCAAAGGAAGCCAACCCATTTTGAAAATGAAAAGACAACCACTGAATGGGAGAACATATTTGCCAATAAAACATCTGATAAAAGGTTAATATAAAAAAAATGTATAAAGAACTTATAAAGCTCAACACCAAAAAACCCAAACAATCCAATTAAAAAATGGGCAAAGGACCTGAATAGACACTTCTCCAAAGACAACATACAGATGGCCAACAGACATATGAAACGATGCTCAATATCACTAATCACCAGAGAGATACAAATTAAAACCACAATGAGATATAACCTGTCAGAATATCATCAATAAACCAACAAACAACAAATGTTGGCGAGGATGTGGAGAAAAGGAACCCTCATGCACTGCTGGTGGGAATGCAGATTGATGCAGCCACCATGGAAAGCAGTATGGAGTTACCTCAAAAAATTAGAAATGTAACTGCCTTATGACCCAGAGATTCTACTTCTGGGAATTTACCCAAAGAAACTCGAAACACTATTTCAAAAGAATATACTCATCCCTATGTTCATTGTAGCGTTATTTACAATAGCCAAGATTTGGAAGTAGCCTTCGTGTCCATAAGTAGCTGAGTGGCTAAAAAAGCTGTGATACATTTATACTATGGACGACTACTTGTCTGTATAAAAGAAGGAAATCTTACCCTTTGGGACAGCATGGATGGACATGAAGAGCATTATGTTAAGTGAAATAAGCCAGTCAGAGAAAGACAAGTACCATACGATTTCACTCATATGTGGAATCTAATGAGCAAAATGAACTAATAAGCAAAATAGAGAGACTCAGTAGAGAGCTGTTGGGAAGGCTGATAGCTGTCGGGGAGGGTGAAGGGACCGAGCAAAGAGAGAAAAAAATCATGAACACAGACAACAGTGTGGTGAATGCTGGGAGTGGGGGTGAGGGGTTAGGGGGGTGGAGTGAGGTACAGGGGGGATATATTGTGATTGTCAGAGACTGGACTTGGAGTGGTGAACATACAATACTATGTACAGATGATGTGTTGTAGAATTGTGTACCTGAAACCTGTATAATTTTGTTAACCAGTGTCACCTTACAATAAATTCAATAAAAAGAAAAAAAGAAACAAAGCATAGCAAGACAACACATATTTCTGGCTACTTAGTGTATAAACAACTCCATTAGAGATCTTCCCGAAAGGATGCTAGGTTTTGGCAGAAGAAAACCCTGTTGAATACCACAAGTAAGGTAGCTGTAAGTCATTCAGTAAGCTAGTAATCGCAAGAGCATGTAACGCCCAGCCCAGGAAAGGCAGAGAGCTGTGTGAGGGCCTCCACATGGCAGGCACACAAAGGAGGTTTCAAGAAGCCAGTTTCAAGTGAAGCATTACAGAGCACTTGGAGAAAAGTAATACAAATGACACAAATTAGGGCGTATTCTTTCCCACTAAATCAAAAGCAAACTACTTTAATGTTTTAATAGTGTTAAAGTTATTTCATTACTGTACCTTATCACCCTTCTTCACTGTTCTGGTTGTCAATTTGCTGATGGCTTTCTTGGCTGCATCTCCAAGACGACGCTATGAACATTGCAAAGAAAAACAGACATTAAGTGCAAGATCTCTGAATAATGCTTCTTAATTAATTAATTTAATCCTCACCTAAGGATATTTTTTCCATTGATTTCATTTTTTTTAAAGAAAGGGGAAGGGAGGGAGGAGGAGGGGAGAGAGGGAGAGAAAGAGAGAGAGAGAAAGAGACACATCGATGTGAAAGAGACACATGGATTGGCTGCCTCCTGTATGCACCCCGACCAGGGCTGGTTGGAACAAAGGTATGTGCCCTTGACTGGGAATCTAACCCACGACCCTTCGGTGTCTGGGCCGACACTCTCACCACTGACCCACACTAGCCAGGACAGTTCTTTATTTTATTTTAATTTTAAAAATATTTTTATTGATTTCAGAGAGAGGGAGAGGGGGAAAGAGAGTCACTGCTCGGCTGCCTCCTGCATGCCCCTTACTGAGGATCGAGTCCACAACCCCGGGCATGTGCCCTGATCGGGAATTGAACCATGATCTCCTAGATCCTAGGTCAATGCTCAACCACTGAGCCACGCTGGCTGGGCTGGCAGTTCTTTATTTTAAAATAATTAAAGGTATAAAGTCCCAAGTATCCTACATCACTCTCCATGTCACAGTGTATGAGGAGGATCTAAAAAAGCAATTAAAAATTAGAGAAATTGGCAGTTTCCCCATAGATTCAGTATTCTGGTTGAATAATTCAAAAGGGAATATAGTTAAAAAGCCAAGTCACATAATCACTACTGCATTTTGTATTTAATAAGCATTGGAAATATTACAGTATTATCGAAATCTACTTCTTGTACACGTCAGAGCTCCGAACAGTTTTCCTATTCTGCTCCACAGACGGCCACCTTAGATGTTTAAGCTCCGTCTTAGTAAAAGGACACCTCCAATGTTACTTGAAATAGCTCATCACATCACCCAGTGTGGGAGAAGGGATGTGGTCATGAGTTCTACTTCTGTCTCTGCCACTACAGTGCTCCGTCACCTTAGGAACGTATATTTACCTTCCCAGGGGTGAGTTGTTCTCATTTATCTAAGAGAGTTAAGTCAGAGAATCTCTAAGGCTGGATTTATGCAACATTTTGCCAGACATTGCTAGCACTTCCAGATATCAAGAACCCAAAGATGAAAAGAGAGTGTGCCTCTGACCTTGCAAAGCAAACTGAATTGGGGACAGCCCAGTGTAACAGCGCATGCCCATGGAGCCTGGCAGCACAAAGGAGCCAACCTAATGCAGGCTGGATGGGAGGGCAGAGGAGCCATGTCAGGGAAGGCTTTGAGGAAACGATGCCCGAGCTAAGGCTTGGAAAACTGAGCAGGCAGGATTTAAATAAGGAAAGGCATAAGGGTCACGAGGGGGATTCTGGACAAAGAGTCTAGTAAAGACAAACAGGTTGAAGTGAAAATGAGTTCAATATAACTAGGGTGAGCATTATTTTATTGTTCAGATGAGAATGCTTCGAGAGTCAGAGGGCCCTATTAATAATTACATTGGGGCAACAGGTGCAAACAGGCACACAGGAACAGATGGTCACTTGACACATAACCAGATTCTAAGCTGTAGGGGCTAAAGGAAGGAACACCTTGGATTCTATCCTGAGAATTAAAAAAGTCATAAAAACATAAAAATTTTAGGGGTAATTAAAAATATGCAAAGAAAAGAACTGAATGAACCTCTTTGCATCCATCAATCAGCTTCAATTGTCAATATTTTATCTATATTTTTCATCTATTTTCCCTCTTTACTGTACAACATTTCAAAGCACATCCACAAGCTTGTATAATTTCACCCATAAAGTCTTCACTATGTTTGACAGGCAGTGGCTTTCATTTGGTGCCACTGTCTTATCTAACAAAATGAATGATAATCAATTTTATCAAATACTCAGACTACTACAATTCCCCCAGTTGTCTCCAGAATGTCTTTTTATAGTTAGCTTGTTTGAATCAGGTTACAGAGTCCAAACTGCATTTGGTTGCTATGCCTCTTAAATCTCTTTTAATGTAAAAGAGTCCCCTCTGTCATGTGTCTGTGTACAGAGGGCCTCCAGACGTTTTACACACACATATATATGTATGTGTATATATATATATATATATACATAGATATCTATATATCTATGTATATATATATATAAATAAGTATGTATGTAAATAAATATCAGCCTCATGGAGGTATAACTGACTTGTAATAAACTGCATATATGGTGTACAATGTGATGTTTTGACATGACCCATGAAACTGTCACTATGATTCAGATAGTGTATCTACCATTCCATCAACGCCTTTGTGTCTCTTCTTACTCCCTTCTTCCCTCCACCCCATTACCTATAACTTACTTTCGGCTACTATAGTTTGTATTTTCAAGAAGTTTACATAAATGGAATGATATTTACATTTATTTACATAAATGGAATGTACTATTTTGTGTATGGTTTCTTTCTCTCAGTATAACTGTCTTGAGATTAATCCATGTTGTTGCATGTATCAACAGTTCATTTCTTTCTTATGCTATGCAGTATCTCACTATACAAATATACCGCAATTTATCTTTTTACCTGTCGATGGGACATTAGTATTGTTTTCCAGATTTTGGTTCTAACGCAAACAGCTGGAAACAACATTCTTTACTTGTACAAGTCTTTGTAAGGACATATGCTTTATTTTCTCTGGTGAGTTCTATAAATGTCAATTAGGTCAAGTTAATTGATTATGTTGTTCAAATCTTTTATTTACTCACTGATTTTCTGTCTATGGATTCTTTCAATTATTGACAGGGGGTACTGAAATCTCTGACTATAACTGCAAGTCTATTTCTCATTGCAGTTCTATCAGTTTTCACTTCATATTTTGAAGCTTTGTTATTAAGCATGTAACTATTTAGGTGCAATATCCTCTTACTAAATTGACCATTTTATTATTAAGAAGTGACTTTACCCCTGACAACAGCTTTGCTCTGATATTAATATAGGCATTTCAACTTTATTTTGAATTATGTTAATATGGTGTAGCATTTTTCATCCTTTTGACCTATATGTATTTTTATATTTGAAGTGCATTACTTGTAGGCAACATATGGTTGGGTCTTGCGTTTTTAAATTTTTAACATTTTAAAAAAATATATTTTTACTGATTTCACAGAGAGGAAGGGAGAGGGAGAGAGACAGAAACATCAAGGATGAGTCATTGATTAGCTGCCTCCTGCACGCCCCCTACTGGGGATTGAGCCTGCAACCTGGGCATTGAACTGTGATCTGGACCATAGGTCAATGCTCAACCACTCAGCCACGCTGGATGTATGGGTCTTGCTTTTTAAAATCCAATCTGTTAACCTTTGCTTTTTTTTTTTTTTTTATTTAATATATCTTTATTGATTTCACAGAGAGGAAAGGAGAGGGAGGGAGAGAGATAGAAACATCAATGATGAGAGTCATTGATCGGCTGCCTCCTGCACACCCCAACTGGGGATCGGGCCCACAACCCGGGCATGCGCCCCGACCGGGGATTGAACCCTGATCGCCTGGATCCTAGGTCGACGCTCAACCGCTGAGCCACGCCCGGCTGGGCAACCTCTGCTTTTAATTAGGGTGTTTAGACCATATGCTTTAATATAATTATCGATATGGTTATGTTTAATTCTATTATCTTGGTATTTGTTTTCTATTTGTTCCATCTGTTCTTTATTCCCCTTTTCCTCTTTCTGTCCTCTTTTGAATTAAAAAGTTTTTCTTTATTGTGTTAAAATACAAATAACATAAAATTTACCATCTTTTAAGTGTACAGTTCAGTGGTATTAAATACATTTGCATTGTTGCAACCATCACCACTATCCATTCCCATTAACTCTTGTAAATCTGAAACTCTGTACCCATAAACACTAATTCCCATTCCCTCCTTTTCCCAGACCCTGGCAACTGTCATTGTACTTTCCATCTTTATAATTTCCTCAAATAAGTGGAATAATACAGTATTTGTTGTTTTGTGACTGGCTTATTTCACTGAGCATAATGTCCTCAAGGTTAGAATTTTCTTCCCTTATAAGGCTAAATAATATTTCACTATATGTACATATTACATTTTGCTTATCCATTCATCCATCGATGAACACTTCAGTTGTTTTCATGTTTTAGCTATTGTGAATAATATTGCTATGAACATGGGTATACAAATATCTCTTTGAGATCTTACTTTCAATTCTTTTGGGTATGTATCAAGAAGTAGAATTGTTAGGTCATAGGGTAATTTTATTTTTAATTTTTTAAAAATATGTTTTTATTGGTTTCAGAGAAAGAGAGAGAGAAACATCAATGATGTGAGTCATTGATAGGCTGCCTCCTGCACGTCCCCTACTGGGGATCGAGCCCACAACCTGGGCATGTGCCCTGGCTGGGAATCGAACAGTGATTGCCTGGTTCAGAGACTGATGCTCAACCACTGAGCCATACCGGTTGGGCTATTTTTAATTCTTTGAGGAACCTGCATGTTTTCCATAGCAGCTGTACCATTTTACATTCCCACCAACAGTGCACAAGGGTTCCAGTCTCTCCATATCCTCACCAACACTTACTGTTTTCTGTTTTTCAGATAGTAGCCATCCTAATGGGTGTGAAGGGGTATCTCATTGTAGTTTTGATTTATATTTTCCTAATGATTAGTGATGTCGAGCATCTTTTTATGTACTTAATGGCCATTCATGTATCTTTGGAGAAATGTCTCTTCAAGTCCTTTGCCCATTTTTAAAAATTGGTGTTTGCTTTTTTGTTGTTGAGTTGTAGGAGTTCTTCATATATTCTGACTATTATCCCCTTATCGGATGTATGATTTGCAAATATTTCCCCCCATTCTCTGGTTTGCCTTTTCATTCTGTTGATTGTGTCTATTAATGTCCAGTTTTAAATTCTGATGTAGTCCAATTTATCCATTTTTTTGTTACCTGTGCTCATGGTGTCATATCCAAGAAATCACTGCCACATCCAATGTCATGTAGATT